TCAAACAAAACGCCAATGTTGCTGCACTTCCACCTTAGCTGAAGGTTCAAACCATTTGAAGTACATATTAAATCATTACTGTTGCAAACATTCCTTAAAATTTTAACTGTAGATTGAAATAGTAAGTTAAAATTTACAGACAATAAAATCTAGCAATAGTCACATGTTTAAAAATACGAATTTTAAACCAAGGTGTAGTGGTTTATTCAATTTCATGAGGACAGCCTGAAAAGGGCTGCTTTTCTAAGCAAATAACTTGGTTTGCTAACTTAAGCAAGCAGTGCAGCAAAAAATGGGCAGCCTGATCACTGTCAAACTACAATTTACAGCCCAGCTACATAAAATCCCAGTAAGGCTGCCATTTCACTTAGGAATCAGCTGTACATGGATTAAATTGGTATTTAAGAGACTCCTCTCAGCTACCCAGGACTGGGTGATGCCCCAGTTCTCCAGGCAGTACTTGTGCATTGTTGTAGCTGAACATGAAGTGCAGCCACTCCTGTCTCTGATGCTGGAAGACCCTGAAAATGAAGCCCACGTTATTTTCAAATAAACATCAGTTAAAATTTATCACCATCATCCTTCAGACTGAAGACTTGTGAGGCTGATTCTGCACTCTAATTTTCCCATTAATCAAGACAGTGTCAGATAATTTAAACCACGAACAATGTGAATGTTAAACAGTTTCTCCCTTTAGTATGTGTTTGCAATCTGTAACAGACGAGCTCGTTAGCATTGACTTAGAATGTTATGTAATGGCTGAGGTATTTGTAATAAAAACAGTCTATTTCTGTTAGCCTGTTCTTCATAGACATAAAAGCTGTCTTCATCTGATTTTTATTAGGACTTCATCTTCTTCTGCTCTTGACGCATTTTTTAAGACTCCTGTGTACTCCATTTTCATTTCACCAATACTCAGTATTATTTTCTCCCATGTCCTCACCTGAATTTCAGCTTTTATTTTTACACTACTTTCACCCGTGAGCTTCTACTGGGTTTTGTAAAACCCAAACGCCAATGAGAGCGTGAGGCTGAGCAAAGGAAAAATTTCCTGCAGAAGATGAACTGGTTCTACCAGTAAAACACCACCAGCAGTGCTGTCATTACAAGCCCAGCATCCATCCTCAGCTAGTGGGAAGGTGCTGCATTTTCATGTGGTGGAGTTTTTCCCCCTCAAACCCTGCACTACTGCAGGAGCCTCTGAAGAGAAGCGTTTTTCCTTCTCTCACACCCCCAATCCACTACACAAGGGTTTACTCCTCTGAAAGAGCACACTGTGCAAGGCTTGAACTCTTCTGCAAGATTTTTATCTCCTCATTTTATCCACACCATCCCTTATATGGCATTTATCCTAGCCTCTCTCCACTCTCACATCCCTGCTGCTCCTTAGCCTGGAAATCAGTCTGGAACAAAGGAATTGTATTCCCACTCCTGCAAGGACACCTGGCTGAAACTGGCCCCACAGAACAGAATCCTACTTTGACTTCCATTCTTTCTCTCAATTGCCAGCCAGCATTCATTCAGACAGCCCCAAACCCACAGGGAGCTCCCTTTGGAATTGCATCATCTCTCCCTTGCTGACTGGGGCCTGTTGCACTTTCCCTGGGGACACAGGACCTATGGAAGATACATCCCATAAACCTGTAGCACTGGGGCAAGAGCCCAAGTTAAAACTGAAGACTGATGTTACTGTTCAGCTCTACAAAAAAACAGGGCTCCCATTATGGAAAGTCTAAATAAGAGCAAAGATATTATAAATTGCTACTAAACTGCCAAGACATAGAATATTTATATTACCAAGACTCACAGAAGCAACTGTATATTGAGTTATACATATTTCATGGGCTATTATCTACAAAAGCCAAGAAGTTCATACAGGCAACGTATCCACACAGCAAGGCCGAGCTTGAGGTGGCAGACAGAGCCTCAATCCTGATCTCCAAGCAGTGGCCTAAGAGAGAACCAAGCTCTCACTTCAGTTTAAAGAGCAACCTCTCAAGCCCACATCACCAAACCACCTTTCCACGGAACATTCCTCCAGTTCAAGCAACTCCCAAGACTTTGAGGTTCTTTATCCTCAAGAAAACGGTGGCAGAGTTGCAGCAAAACACCACAAAATTAATGCAGAAGCAAAATTCTCTAGACTATAAAATTAAAAAAAACCCCAAAACACTCTGATAGCCACACAGCTCCTGACAGTCAGTATCAAAGGACAATCCTTTTGTTTCTCATACATGGACAAATGAGATCATGTCCTGTTTCCTGCCCCTTCAAAAGCAGTTTCTTGCCTGAGCAGAGCTCTCTAAGATCAGACATCAAGTAGGCCAGGTGCCTCATTGCACAAGAAACAGGACTATTAAAAATCACAGCCCCATTCCTTCTGTCGGAAATATTGCTCATTTCCAGTAATATACTATTTAACCTCAATAATCAGGGCAAGAAGGAGAAACGGTCCTTCCTTGAAAATACTGACTTCAAGACGTTCCACCAAATAATATATTTACAGAAGACCCAGGTGAAACACAAAAAGGAAGAAAACCCACCCTGAGTTCCATTCAGGGCTCAGCATCATGCTCTCGTGCATGTCCCCTTCCTCAGGAAGACGGCCTGAACTACAAATTTTCTTTTCGCCTCAAAATTTTCAATCCCTGCATCCCTGGATTATGCCCACTGCAGACCAACCGCCTGAATTTCAGCCGTGTCATCTCACCACGCTCTCACCATCCTTGAAGCACTATCTATCCACGAGAACACCCCTGGCTCTGCCCACCCCAGCCCTACAAACCCCGGGAGCACAAACAATGCCTTCCTTCACTCAGTCCCGCACCAAACTACCCAAGAACTGCCTTTTACCATAGGCGAAGAGTCAAAGAACCCCGGATGCGAATTTCAGAGTTGGAAAAGCGAGGCGCCTCGCCTCCAGCAGCCCCAAGACAAGGCTGCTCACCCTGCGCGTTCCTGCGGGAAGAATCAGAGTCGCGAAGTGAGCGCCAATGCACGCAGGGCGCCTTCCCCGAGGAACCTCCGGAGCAGAGCGAAAGGCAGGGAGAAAGAAGAGGGGAAGAGAGGAAGGAGGAGACCAAGCGCCGTTAAAAAAAGGAGAAAAACGAGGGGCAAATGAGACCGGGAGCAGGAAGCAGTACCCCCGCAGGAGCGGTCCCGGCGAGCCGCCTCTCCCGCCGGCCCCGGGCGCGGCCCGGGCTGAGCCCGGCGGGGCGCGGCCGGCCCCGAGCGCCAATGCGGGGCTGCCCGGCGCACCCCGGCCCGGCTCCCGGCGCCGCTGCCCGCCCCGCTGGGCCCGGCGGCGGTGCCGGCCCGGGACGCCCCTCACCCGCCGGCCGCGGGCCCGCCCGGGCGGAAGCCGCCCCCGCCCGGGGCCATGCGGCGCAGGCCGCCCGCCCGCTCCTGCCGGTGCCGTGCCGCCACGCGAGCCCGCGCTGCGCCGCGGCGAAGCGGAGGAGCCCCGGCGCTTACCGGGCGCGCAGGGCGGCGCTCGGCTGCCCGCGGGTCCCGGTGCCGGCGGGGCCGCTGTCTCTCCCGGCGCCGCCGCCTCGGCCGCTCGCACACAGGGGCCAAGATGGCGGGCGGCCAAGCCGGGCGCCAACGACGTCTGACGTCATCGCGCACAGCGCGAGCCGCCGGCCCCGCCCCCGCGCCGCCGGTCACGTGACAGCGCCGTGCCGCAGTCGCGCGGGTTCCCGGGGACGGGTGCGCCCCCTGGCGGCGCGGGGGCAGGGCGGGGCCGCGCCGAGCGGGGCCTGTCCCGGCCCTGTCCCGGTTCTGTCCCGGTTCTGTCCCGGCCCCGTCCCGGTCCTGTCCCGGTCCTGTCCCGGCCCCATCCCGGTCCTGTCCCGGGCCCGTCCCGGGCCTGTCCCGGTCCTGTCCCGGCCCCGTCCCGGTCCTGTCCCGGTCCTGTCCCGGCCCCGTCCCGGTCCTGTCCCGGCCCCATCCCGGTCCCGTCCCGGTCCTGTCCCGGCCCCGTCCCGGACCTGTCCCGGCCCCGTCCCGGTCCTGTCCCGGTCCTGTCCCGGTCCTGTCCCGGCCCCATCCCGGTCTTGTCCCGGTTCTGTCTCAGTCCTGTCCTGGCCCCATCCCGGTTCTGTCCCGGTCCTGTCCCGGCCCCGGCCCGGCCCCATCCCGGTCCTGTCCCACTTCTGTCCCAGTCCTGTCCCGGTCCCGTCCCGGTCCTGTCCCGGTCCTGTTCTGGCCCATCCTGGTCCTGTCCCGGTCCTGTCCCAGTTTTGTCTCAGTCCTGTCCCGGCCCCATCCCGGTCCTGTTCCGGTCCTGTCCCGCTTCTGTCTCAGTCCTGTCCCGCTTCTGTCCCGGTCCTGTCCTGGCCCCATCCCGGTTCTGTCCCAGTCCTGTGCCGGACCTATCCCAATCCTGTCCCGGTTCTCTCCCGCTTCTATCCTTGTTCCTATCCAGGTTCTATCCCTGTTCCTATCCCTGCCCCATCCTGGTCCTGTCCCGGTCCCATCACGGTTCCCATCCCGCTTCTGTCCCTGTTCTATCTCAGTCCTATCCTGGTCCCATCCTGGTTCCTATCCTGCTTCTATCTCTGTTCCTGTCCCGGTTCTATCCCTGTTCCCAGTTCTATCCCTTTTCCTATCCCAGTACCATCCTGGTCCTATTCCAGTTCCATCCCAGTTCCATCCCAGTTCTACCCTGGTTCCTGTGCTGGTCTTATCCCAGTTCTATCCCAGTTCCTATCCTGGTTCTATCCCGGTTCTACCCCGGTCCCATCCCGGTCCTATCCCAGCCCCATCCCAGTCCTATCCTAGTTCCCATCCTGGCCTCATCCTGGTCGCATCCCATCCCCATCCCTGTTCCCATCCCTATTCTCATCCCAGCCCCATCCTGGTCAAATCCTGGCTCTATCCTGGTTCTGTCCTGTTCCCATCCCTGGCCTATCCTGGTCCCATCCCTGGCCCCATCCCAGGAATTCATGGTTCCCTATAATCCTAAGGCTGCTCAGGCAATGTCAGGGATGCCTGCTTACTTGGATTTGTCACTCTATGTATAATTTATTATTAGATACCATGACATTAACATATATAACATTTCTGCTATACCTTATTTGTTGATATTTCTGTCTATACAATGGATAGATTATATATACAAGGGCAAGACTCTCCCCTCTGCCACAGCTCGGGATCCACCTCACACACCCTGATAATAAACCATTAATAAAACCATCAGCAAAGACCAGATCTGCGAGGTTTATTTGTGGCTCCCTCCTTCACGTCCTGAAAGTTACCAGACACAGAAGTGGCTCTCGACAGTTCATGTTTCACAAAATCTCTTGGTGGTGTGGGCCTTGCCCAGATTTCAGGGAGCAGGGGGGAGGAAGGCTGGCCTCATATTCAGCAGTTCATCCCAGAATGGTTCAGGGTGAACACTCTGTGTCACTTTTGGTGAAACATCAGTAGGAGGTGGCTGGACACACTCAGCCCCCGGGTCCAGGCTGCTGCTGGTGCCAGCTCCAGCCCTCTGGCAGCAGCTGGCACAGCTTTGCACCATCCCCACGTCACCTGGCATCGCGTCTCTCCAGGTCCTTCTACAGCTGGGGACCTGCCCGGGGGCTCCAGCCTGGCTGGGGGGATTTAGAGAAGAGCCAAGCTGCTGTGAGAGCTGCTGGCAGAGCCAGGAGGCACATCCAGCACCAGCCCCAGGAGCTGCTGGAGCTCTCATCCAGCAGCCGCGTTCCCAAGGGCTTCAGCGAGCGCTGCCACTGGGTCAGGATGGCAGCTCTGGCCCCGCTCCACCTGCCCCGTCCCACCAGCCGGTACTGGTAGGGGGAGCAGGGCCCAAAAAAGATAGCCAGGGCCAGCTGGGGGTCTGTCAGCAGCAGCCTAGACACGCTGGGCTTGATGCCAGCACACGCAGCGATTTTGTCCACGTAGCTGATAAAACTCATCTTCAGGTTCTCCCTCTCAGACGGATTCCTTCGATGGGACATGAGAAATAAAAGTCAGGTGGCATCATCCTGTCTCAGTTCCCAGCTCCATGGAAAGCAAAGGCCTCAGGCTCAGACAAAAGGTGAGCCCCAGTCTCTGGGGCAGAGCTCTCTTAGCCCCAGACAAAGCCAAAGATGCTGAGAGAGCCTCTGTGGGGTTAGTGCCAGCAGTTCCCGGGGGCAAGGGATAAGCAGGAGCTTGTTTTGTCTCTGCAGCATAGTTGTGGCTTCAAAATCAGCTCTAACTTAACAGTAGCATCGTTGTAATGCCACAATGCTGCTACGTCCTTCCCTGAAGTTCAGGGCGGTGGATTTGGCTGATTTTGAGAAGTAGATATGTAGACTTTCAGAGATAAGGATGCCCAGAGGACTGGGGAAATCTGGGAAATGCAGAAAGCTTCCCATGCTAAGAGGGACCTCCAGGATTTCTCTGCTTGAAACCTTATCTCCCTCACAGAAGGGAGATATCTGCTTCAGAAAAATTAGAGACAACCTCAAGTTTGCTTCCCTTGCACCTCAGGCTTCCATATTTCTGTGTAACAGCAATTTCCATATATCTGCGTAACACCATGGAGCAGTCATTGGGGCTCCTGGTCATAATCCCTGTGGCTCTTTTTTGTCCCAGCTTTTCCCCAGTGTTCCCCAGAGCCAGCACTGCCCTGTTGGCAGACCCAACCCTGGGGTCCTCTCCTTGCTTCATCATCAGCCATCCCACATCCTCGTGGACACATCTCCACCTGCTGCAAAACCCCAGTGCCCACGAGGCAGGCTGTCAGCTCCCACACACACTGGTGGGACACTCACCTGGACCTGCCAAAAAGTGACACAAAAAGTGACACCCACACCGCCCATCCATGGCGGGGCTCTGGACGGAACCCAGCTCTCCTCTCTGCCCGGATTTGGGAGGGAGAAGCCACGAGATGGCACCCTCAGTCTGGAGGAAACCAAACCTTCATCTTGACGTGCTGGGAACAAGGACATGGCTTGGAGGCCTGGCACATGGGGATCTCCAGAGAACGGCAGAGAAAAGGAGGGAGCAAAGGAGATGGGAAGAGAGGGAAGGGGAGCTGCAGGCCCTGGTCTTGTCATAAACTGCTCCAGAGAAGCTTATGGTGTCTTGTTCCATAAAGGAAGCATTTTCCCAGCTGAAAATGGGAAAATGTTTTCCCAGTTTTCCCACTGCGGGTGGTGAGGTAATAAATGCAGAGTTGGGTGTCCTGAGCAGGTCCTTCCCATGCCTGCCATCGATCCCTCCCTTCCCCGAGCTTATCCTGGCACACAGAACGTGTCTCATCCCAAGTGCAGGAGTGTCACACACCTTTTGACTGGTGGTTTCCTCTTCAAAACTTCAGCCATCATCCTGTGGGGGGGAGGCAGCTTGTTCCAGCCTGAGAACAGAGAAACCAGCAAGCTCCAGCAGCACCTTTAGAGAAAATGGTCAGCCCCTTCCAGAGGTCCCAGCACCTTTCCCGAGGTGTGGGATGCAGCTGGTGGGCAGAGGCTACCCATGGAGCTGAAAAATGCCCTAAGCTCTGTGGGCAGCAGCTCAGGCTGCCCCAAGCCTCCCAGCCAGAAGATCTCCCCCATCTCCTACCTGCAAAGACCCCTGTGACCCAGCGAGCCTGCATTTCTGATCCCACCATAATAGAGCCTGTCAGCTGGATCAAGCCAATGATGGCCAGCGTGGGCTTTTCCAGCTGGGGAGGGAAGACGCAGTTGTAGAGGGAACGGTTGTCCTTGATGGTGCTGCGAACAGACTCCTCAAGGAAGGGGAAGGAAAAGTTGTAGCCCGTGGCAAAGAGCACCACGTCAATGTTTTCTTCAGTTGTCCCATCTTCGAAAACAGCAGAGCTTTCAGTGAACTCCTTCACGTTTGGCTTCAACACCACAGTCCCAGAGAGGAGGCAGAATGGCAGCTCTTCATTGATAATCACCTTAAATTTGGAGCTTGCAGCAGGGGAAAAAGGGCAGCAGTGTTAGCATCTGGGAGGGACTTAAAATGACTTTTTTATGGTCAAAATTCCCCTCCAATGCTTTGCTATTCCACAAATATCTCCCAAGACTGAAAATTAAGCCTTTCATATTATAAAGACCCCTTGAGCACCCAACAAATAAATCAGAAAAAACACCTTTTGCTGGAAGCCAAGCCATAGTTTGTGTGGTTGAACCATGAATTGAACTTCCGAAACTTGATCCTCCTTGTGAGGGCTGATGGGAGAAGCCACTCCAGGAGGGAGTTGAAACGGGTGGTGCCGACCATGTCCAAGGGGAAGCCGTGGTCTGAGACCCGGCTGACGACCCACGTGTGGCTCCTGGTGCTGAGGAACACCTGGGGGGAAAGGCAGGTCTCAGCCTCCCGCCCAGGCATTTCATCAGTTTTGCCCTGAGTGTCAAATCCCATCTCCTGCACTTGAACCAACACAGTTAATCCAAGAGAAGGAGATGACATCCAGATGAACCAGACAGTTTGGGTGGCTCTGATGCAGTTCCCACAGCTGCTCAGTTGCCAGTCCTCAGGTAGCCCAAACTCTCCAGGAGTTGCAAAGCTTCTTCAAGTGCCCTCAGTGAGAAGTGGAATTTATTGAGGAACTTGGCAGCAAAGGTCCCTGTGGTACCTTGAGCTGATGCCTCAAGTTTTAGCTTTTATATTTTTCAGATTCTCTGCTGCTTTAGTGTGTGGGTCTGGGCTTCATATTAGGGGATGCTGAGCTCTCTGCACAGAGCAGGGAGACAAAACAATTCCTTCTCTAGCTGGGGACCAAGGACAAATGATCCAAATCTCAGGCCCAAGAGCACAAACAAAGTGGGCTGGAGAGAGAAAAACAAGCAGGATGGGACTTCATGGGCTAAAGCTGGAATCAGACAATTAACTCCAATGTGCAAATGGACAAGAACTTATAAAAGTGAGAGACCCCATGACTGAGTGTGAACTTTGTGGCCATTTTGGTTCATTTTGGATGCAGCCCTGGCTGGGCTCTTGTGCTGCCCAAGGTGGATCCATTGAGGCCTCCTAATAAATCCCTACTTTAGTCTTTAGCTCTGTCTAGTCTCTGTTCTAGGTCAGCCTTCAGAAGGCATGAGAGCCACTGGCTCTCAGAGATCCTGTCTGGACCACCATGGAGCTGTACCTTGGCAGCCACACGGCTCAGCTCCACGGAGAGGTCACCGCCGGTGTTGCCAATGCCAACCACCAGGACACGTTTTCCTCGGAAATCCTGCACATCTCTGTACTCCCGGCTGTGCAGGCACCGGCCTTTGAAGCGACTTTCAATGCCTAGGCAGAGAGCAGGGAGCATCTCCTACTGCCAGATACATTTACTTGCCTCAGCCACGTACCCAGATCCTCTGCAGCCCCCAACTCTCCCTGGTCCCCTCCCCTGGCAGCTGAGAACCCCATGGAAGTCCCCTGTACCTCCTCAGCTCAGTCCTGCTTTGCAAATCCTAAAGGAAAAGCCTGGATGCACCTTTACAAGATGTTTTTCCCATTCCCTGCAATGCCCTTCACCATTTCCACGGGGTCAGGGTCCTGCCTGCTGCAGCGTGGGGGCTTCATGGAGCAGGCAGGTTCACAGAACAAAATCCAACCAGGGGACCCACGGGTGCTGGGGGAAACCACTGCTGGGACAGGGCTTACCTGGGAAAGAAGCCAATGGCAAGTAGGGCTCCTGGTAGTGGCCGGTGCAAACCATGACAGCGTCGAAGACGTGGGACTCACGGACACCATGGGTCTCGGTGACCACCTCCCACTGGCCTGAGGTGCCGAAATCCGGGCGCTTCCTCATGCTGAGAACTGTTGTCTTGCACAGAAGCCCAACAGAACAGCAGTCAGGGATCACGCCGTGTTTCTGAGACGTGCCTGTGAAAGGCTGGGGCTGCTGGGAGCAGGCTGGGTCCCTGGGGAGGCATGTGTCACTTCTGAAGGTGTTAAACCCCACCCTGCACCTTTCCCCTGGTGATGGCACTGGGGGGCAAGCCTGTGTTAAACCAACATATTTAAAACGTGGGGCTTAAAGGCAGGACGCCAAAGGCACGTGGTCCTTGTGGGCTGGCACCTGGCCTTGTCCCGTCCCACCTCCAATCTGCAGCTACCCATGGCTCTTCTCCCCGTGGCTTTGGGCTCCCTGCTCACCTGGAAGCGTATGTGCCGCAGGAGGTCGAAGTGCCGGGCGTACATCCTGAAGTATTCCAGGATCAGGCTGTGGGGCAGGTAGTTGGGAAAATCCTCGGGGAAGGGGAAGTCGCTGAAGCAGGACATCTCCTTAGAGGTGTTGGTGATGACTGAGCGGTACACAGTGACCCTCCTGCTGTCTGTGGAGTCCTGTGTGAAGCCAGTGGTGATGTTTCCAGGTGTGCAGGGGAAGACTTTCTCCCCATCAAGTGTATGAGCATTTTTATTCCTCAAGTTTTGGTACAAGGAATAAGCCAGGACTAGGACCTGGAGACAATCATTACTTCTCCCTCTGTTGAATTAAGCCCTTTTCTGACCCAGAGATGGGGCAACCGAGAGGTGTTTTAAAAACTTTTATTCCATTTTCAGTCTCATGTGAAGGGTGAGACAATACAGATGTTATAATTTTCACTATTACAATCAGAAGCCAATTATTTCTCAATTACAATACATTATAAGCATTTCTTGGCCTATCAGTTTTTGCTACACCATGCTGTAGATGCCTTAAAGCCAATAATCTAGAATTACCCCTCATAAATCCTACTAAAATGCATCTTTCATAGTTCTATTCCTCCAAAGTATTTATTTTTATTTGCAAGGCCATCCTTTGAAACTTGTTTCTAGCTCCATTTCTCTCTCAACAATGTCTGTCCTGTTCCATGGCATTTCTAAGTCAGCTTTTCTTATCTCAAAGTTTGCCTACAGGTGCACACTATGTGAGCCTTCTGCCAGGTTTCGAGAATTCTCTACAAATCCATTCCTCACATTTCCCCCTCTCTCTTGAAAGGAAAAAAACTTCTTTGATGGCTTTGTTTAACATTTGCTGTGCACAGTGAAGTACGCAAGGCACAATCACTGACATTGTCACTATAACAATCAATGCAGATAAACCTATTTTGCAAAGCTCCTTTATCTAAGGTGCAAAACTTCATCCATTTCCCACACCCTCCATTTCCTTCTCCATCCTCCAGTCAGGAGGAGCCCCATGAGTGGGACAGGGACAGTCCCTGAGGGCGTGGCCACCCTTTCCTCTTTGCTGCAGTCCAAGAGCATCCAAGGAAGGGGACAAACCCGGGGACAAACCAGAGGGCACTGACCGTGTAGCGCCAGATGCCGCCGATGTCCTCGCTGCTCTCGAAGCAGGTGGGCTCCAGCCCCTCATCCAGGCAGCACTTGACAGAGGCCAAGCCCCCAGCCCCAGCCCCGATCACGGCCACGCGCCGGACCATGCTGGCCTACAGCTGTGAGAGCAGCTGGAAACACAACAGCCCAGGCATCAGCAGAAACGCCAGTCCCTTCTTCCCATCCCAGCAAACCCCCCCGGTCTGCTCTGGCCGCAGGTGTCCATGAAGGAAAACTGTCCTGGGAGAAAGCCGTGGCCAGCTGCTGGTGCAAGTGCTGTGCACAGATCTTGCTCGTTGCCCTTCCTGCTGTGCTAAACCCACTTTGGGGCTCCAGGAATCTCCCTTCTCCATGGGAAAAGGAGGCACTTTTAAACCTCGCTGTTCTGCTGCTTCAATTTCTTCTCTTTTCCAGCCCAAACCAGGGCATGCAAAGAAACTGCAGCTATCTTCTACTGCCTGCACAAAGCTATTGTCCTGAAACCTTTGGGAGAAGCAACTCCAGCCAAGCTGGCTCGTTTTCATGCTTTCCTTTTTAACTTCCTATTAAAGAGCAATCTCTTGAAAACAAAAAGGGTTTAAAAAGAGGGAAAAAAGCAAAGCAATGCCTGACTGAGCAGGAGCACGGTGCAGCCATTCAGAAGTTAGACAGCTCTGTGAAAGCAAGGCTAGGATTACAGGATATACAAAAGGTAAGAAACCGCGGAAACGCTGGATATAAATGGGAGGAACTCAAAGCTGGGATGTGTAAACTGAGCTGCACCAAGCTTGACTGGAAAGCAAAGAAACTAGGAAAAAATGAACCCACGGGAACTTTGATTAGATAAGAAATACTGCTACTGCAGGGTCTGCAAAAAAAGTAATTTATAACTTTTTATATGGGGTTTGTGTCAAAAAGTAAATTAACATAAATAGAAACTGGAGGAAACTGAAGAAAGTTAGGGAAAAATGAGGGAGGTGCAAAACAACCCCTTTGGCATCTACAAGCCTGGCCTGAGCCACTCCTTGATCTGCAGGAACAGGGCAGGACATGCCCACAGCCACCTGCCTTGTTTCTGGAGCCTTCTTTGGCTTCAGGAAAGGGCAGGCAAGCTCAGGGTGCTCAAATCACCCCACTTTTCCAATGCTGCCTGCGGATGGTTTTACTCCAGAGGGTCCCTGCAACACCCCTCTCCCCCCACCAGCAGCAAGGCAAAGCCAGCAGTGAATGCCAAAACCCTGGAGAGCTGTCTGCCCACTTTAAACCCTGCCAAACCCCCCCAAGAGAAGCGAGGAGCAAACCTTGCAGGACAGCACTGCGCCTTCGCTGCTCTGCCCTCGGCCGAATTTCCCTGGAGTTTCTCTGGCCGTGGATTGAAGGGAAGGCTGAAGTCCAGGCAGCTCGCCTCAGCTCTTGCACCACTGACCTTTACACCTGCATTCCCCCGCCCTGTGGGCTTAAATGCACTGGAAGAAAGTTCTCAATCTCCCAGTGGCAGTGCCAGGTGAAAATTCAGAGATAATCCCAAAGGGAACACGCTTGCAAGGATTCCCACGCTGTAACTTGTCATTGCTCCAGCCCAGGCAGCAGCGTGGGGTTGTCCTGACCTATTCCCTTTTGTGGTGCCAGTGCTGGGCTCGTGTTCCCTTGGCATCCTCAGCAGATCAGCAGAACACGCTCCCTCGGCAGCAGACTGTGGATGTGGGACATGGAGCACTGTGCAGCCCCATTTCAGAGGGTCAGGGAAAGCCCTGAGAGCCCCAGCCCTGTGAGCTGCCCACAGCCTTTGCTGGCACGGCCCCAACTCAGACACGGGCTCTCCCTCCCTGCTCTTCCCATGCACACAAGGAAAGGAGAGGGAGGCATCTGCAGCACACTCCTGCCACAGCCACTGAGATTTTATTCATTTAAAGTCTCTTCACACACAAAACAAAGCCTCAGGATTGTCCAGTGGTGGGGCACACAAGGAAGCAAAGCCAGGAGTGCTCAGCCCCACAAGGCTCCCGTGTGACAAACCACCACAACTGGAAAGAAGCACCAATTCAACCCCAGCTGGGGTTTTGGGGTCAGTGTTTAGGTTTGGAGAAGGGGGACAGCTTGACCTGTGTACACAGCCCAGGTAATTCCTGGGCACTCTTGCTCCTGTGACACACTTTTGCTGGTCTTGTCCTCTCTGCATCCTGCCTTGTGTGATCCAGCACAAGTATGCCACCAATCCCTGCTCTGCTCCTGGCAGCAGGCAGGAGAGCAGAGGGGCAACAGACACTTGGGCAAGGCTGCCATGCCTGACTAATGAGGCCTGCAAAGCTGGGCTTGGGGCTGAGCTGGAGCAGAGGGCGTTTTATGCTGCACGTTGCAGATTAAAGTTCGTTGCCATCTACTGAAATCCTTTTCCTCCATACCATGGCACGCTGAAGAGCTATCTAACATGAGATAAAATCCCTCAGGACAAAAAAAAAAAAAAAAAAAAAAAAAAAAAACCACAAAAAAAAAAAAAAACCAAAAAAAAAAAACCACCAAACCAAAAAACTAAACACGCTCTAAAAGCTATTGGAAACCAAAAATCACAGCTGCCAGGAGCAGAAGGAATCCCACCACAGCCAGGAGAGAAGGGAAAGAGCTGGAGGAGCCAGCAGGGACTCGTGTTCTTGTGGGCTTTAGGACACGGTCCCACTGGGTGAGGATGGCCTGGCGTGCCCCCTCCCAGCGCCCAGGACCCCCCAGGCGGTACTGGTAGGGGGAGCAGGGGCCAAAGAAGATGGTGAGGGCCAGCCAAGGGTCTGTGAAGAGCAGCCCCAGCACGCTGGGCTTGGCACCGATGAAGGAGGCCAGCGTGTCCAGGTACACCAGCCACTCAGTTTTCAGGATTTCGTCAAAGGTCAGACCAAACCTGAATGAATCAGAGAAGAGAAAGAGGCAGGAGGAAGATTTGTATCAGCAGGGCTTAGAGGAACTGGGGTGGAGGTAATCTGCATCCTTGGTGTTGCTGCATCTGGAATGCAACTGGGTTCTTTTTAGGAAAGGACTGGATGCAGGTGCAGTGGGAACCTGTGACACAGATCCTGCCCTGACACAGCACCTGTAAAGTGATGCTGGCTCGTTCAGTCTTTCTCTTCCTCAGTCACAAGTTGCACCTGTTTCCCCCCTTCCCCTTGGTGAATATCTGTTTACAGATTTTGGCAAAGCAGTTTTGGGTCTTTTTCAAAACAAACAAACAAACCCTCAAAGCCAAATCTGTCTGCTTTTTGCAGAAAAGTCATGTGCAGCATGAGAATGGTGGCGCCTTTAGTATCCATCACGTTCATTTCCACCAAATATTGCAAGGACACACAGTGACTTGGAGAACTGCTTCCAGTTCACCTTCTCTGCAGAATTCACAGCTTCATGTCCCACCTGCAGAGGTGTGATATGGGCTCTCCATATCCACCTAGCCTTGTATTGTACAGCAGTTGTTCTCCGCAATTATGAACTTCACTCTTCTGTACCTTTTCTTCTGTAGCTATTTAAGTGAACCACGGATTTATAGATCACCCAGATTCCTGGGATTGGCTCGTTCATTCCCTAATCCTTTCTAGCCTTTTGCCTGCCTGTGAAGCACACACCAGTGTGCTCAGACACCTGTTCACAGTGAGTCAGGTCTCCATGCTGTGAGATGAGGCAATCTGTGTGTGCACCTCGTTGCTTGTGTGTTGGCTTTTCCTCCCCCCACCAGCTGAATTACTTTGCATTTATTACCATCAATTTCTCTGCCATTTTATCTCTCAGTCCCTGGGGATCCTGGCGTTCTTCCCCAACTCCCAAGCAAACCTTAGCCTTGAGTACCCCAAATTAATTTTTTTCCTGTCACCAACAGGCAAAATATCAATGTTAAATCAAAGGTTACATTGGATCTTTGCAAGTTAGCAAAGGGGAAGCTGGATCCAGGAATCCTCCCCTCTCCTCTGCCATGCAGGGAACAGGCAAAGAGTGAGAGCCCGTGTGTTGCTGCCCTAAAAACTCCAGGAGTTTTTCAATCCACCAAAAAACCTCTGGGGCTCTGAGGAATGACTTACCATTGGATTTGGTTTTTCTTCTTCTCATTTATTTCCTTCTCCATGACAGACTGGGGAGGCAACTGACACAAGCCTGGAAGAGAGAGGAGAGCACCCTGCCAGGTTTAACCCCTGGGAGAGGAACTGTGAACTCATTCAGGGATGCAAAATGTGGGAATCCCCTCCCTGGGAGGGCAGGAAAGTCTCATTGCTGGCAGTTTATTTGGCAGTGGGAGTCCTGCCCGAAACCAGCTCTCCATACTCCAAATTGACCGACACCTCCTCCTGCTCTTAAAGATGTGTGCTGCCAGGGCACAGGCAGGTGATGTGGGGTCAGATGGGCTGTGCAAGCCCCAGAGAGGAACCACAGAGCTTCTCATCTCTGTGGAGTAGTCCTGACCCAGCCCTCCACGAGGTTATTCTTAGTATTTTTAATAAAAACCCCAAACAAAACACCAGTAGGTTTCTTTTCTCACTCCTGTTCCTGTAGGCTAACTGAAGTGAAATAACTTGGGAAGTCTGACCCTTGGAAATGCTCCCTTGTCTGCTCTGAATTCCTTAAGTCTGGGATCTCCCTGTCTGGAGGGATAAAACGTGTCCAGTTTTTTCTGAGCTGCATTTTGGGGCACAGGAGGACTCACATTTGCTCCCCTACCTTTGAAGACACGGCTCACCCAGCGTGCCTGCATCTCTGACACGGGCAGGATGCATCCAAGGGGCTTAATCAGCCCAAGGACAGCCAGGGTGGGCTTCTGCAGGTGGGTTGGGAACACATATTTGTAGAGGGACGCGTGCTTGTTTTCCACCCTGACGACAGATTCTTCCAGGAAGGGGAAGGAGATGGCGTAGCCCGTGCAGAAGACAACAATATCGACGGGCTCCTCCTCAGGGCAGTTGTGGAAAAGGACTGAGTTGTCCTTGAACTCCTTCACACCCGGCCTGATGGTGATCCTGCCTGTCAGGATGTAGCTTGGGAGGTCGTCGTTCAGCAGGGGCTCCCGCACCAGCCAGCTGTGGAGAGCCAGGGGCTCTGAGAGTGGGGCACCACCAACAAGCCTTGCTGGTCCCCTGCTCCTCCTCTCCCCAGGCCCACCAACTCACACCTCCTGGTGTCATTTTCTCTGAGCACACAGCCCTGCCCTCCACCTCTGAACAATGACACGTGTCACCAATGTCACCCTGTCCCACAGCGTGAGTGATTCACAGACATCTCCTGCTGCCTTATTCCCTCCACTCAGTTACTCTTTAAATCATCTCTTTCCAGAACTGATCCACGCTTTAAGCCTTCCTTCTCCTCTGTACCCAGAGACCCTCACAAGGAAAACTCCTCTTAGCCTTCCTGGGCTTTTTCAGCATGCCCAATCTTTCACCACTTAAGGGAGCTACAGCTATTTTCTCCTCCCCACTGGAGATCCCAGACCCCAGTCTGGGTATTGGTTGATGCTGATTGCTGAATATCTTCCCCTGCCCACACCACAAGCCCATCTGCATGGGATGGGGACCACCAAGAAGTACCTGTTCTCTGGCTGAATGCCATAGTTTTCATGGTTGAACCACTGGTTCGCTTTGTAATTAATCAACCACCATGAAAGGGGTCCGGGGAGGTTGGTTTTGATCAGGCTCATAAGGCGAGTGTTCAAAATCATATCCCATGGGTAGCCGTGCTCAAACACACGACTGAGCAGCCAGGCTCCTCGAGTGGTGCTAATGGTCACCTAGAAGAGAAGATCCAATGGTTCAGGTGGTGAGTTTGCTGATTTTCCTTTGTAAAGAAACTCAGAGGGGCATTGTAGGTCTCAGATTCAGTCAAAGAGAAAACAGAAAATTTCTAACCAGGCAGAAGCCTGAGGAAGTGCTGAGAAAGAATGTAAATAAGTTCTTTATCTCTTTTGTTGTTCACATTTTTTATAGTTAAGTTTTACTACTGTATGTCATTCACTGCACACCAATAGTGTGAAATGTTTTCACTTCAGGACCAATGGAATTAGTCTACATGAAGCTCTGTATGAAAGAGTGATGTATTTTAAGATAAATCAGAGTTATACTCTCAGCCTTCTGAACAAAGTCTATTAATTCCTGTCCTGCCTCAACAGCATCAGGGCATGGCGCAGACAGCCGTGCAATGGAAAAGCAGCAACAGCATCTTTAATTTCTCCTGGCTGCTGGTGATGGAGGTGAAACAGGAGAGAAGAAGAAAACCAGCTTGCTTTCAAGGTAGGTTTTTGACCACAAAATTCAGGCTCAGGAAAACTGTACACCACATCCCTGCGATGACAGCACATTGAGCTACTGTCCCCAGTGTCCCTCTCCCCACACCCCTGGGGTGGCAGGGGGGTGGCACCTTTGCAGCGACACGACTGGCCTCCACCGCAATGTCCACTCCTGAGTTGCCCATGCCCACCATGAGGACACGCTTGCCCTGGAACACGTCAGGACGCTTGTACTGCCGGCTGTGGAAGTACTGCCCTCGAAACCTCTCGATGCCTCGGGGGAAAAAGAAGCAGAGCTTTGAAGTACTCCAGCACTTGTGGATTTGGTTGGGAGAACTGGTGTAAAAAAACAATCTACATGGCAAGAGCAGGGAAGTGCAATCTCTGGTCACCCCGGTCTTGGGGAGGTCCAGCCCACCCTCCATCCCATGCACACAGAATTAATTGATGCTTCTTCTCCAAAATGGGGTCTCAGAGAAAAAGCTGCTGAAGTACAGGAAAGTATTGCTGTTGATGCCAGCAGGTTTGGGAAGGAGAAGTAAGAAA